AGGTGTAGGATACCCTGGAGGTGCTGTACCTGGGACTGAGCCTACTGGAGGAGGTGTAGGATACCCTGGAGGTGCTGTACCTGGGACTGGGCCTATTGGAGGAGGTGTAGGATACCCTGAAGGTGCTGTACCTGGGACTGGGCCTACTGGAGGTGGTTTAGCATACCCCGGAGGTGTTGCACCGGGAACTGTGCCAACTGGAGGTGGTGTAGGATACCCCGGAGGCATTGCACCGGGAACTGTGCCAACTAGAGATAGTGTAGCATATCCTGGTGGCCCCGTAGGAGGCACTACAGTAACAGGAGGAGCTGGAGTATATCCTGGAGGTGCTGTACCTGGGACTGGGCCCACTGGAGGTGCTGTACCGTATCCCAGTGGCCCCGTAATAGGAACTACAGCAACAGGAGGAACTCAAATATATCCGGGCGGCACTGCACCGGAAAGGTTACCAACTGGAGGTGGTGGACTTTATCCTAGTGGTCCTATTCCAGGAATTATGACAACTTATCCTGGAGGTGTTCCACCAGAAACACTACGACGACCAGGAGAACAGTACCCACCAGGTATTACACACAAATTGCGATATTAAAAGTACATAGTAGCCTTATAAGCAATTCCAAATAAAAGATTCCAATTTCAGGAGTTTCTTATCCTACTAGTACTGGGACAGGAACATATCCAGGTGGAATTCCATCTAGAGTAGGCACAACGGGTGTTGTTGGAGGTACATATCCAGGTGTTTCTCCAGTTGGTGATAGAGGAATGTATCCTGTGGAAATACCTGGTACTATTGTAACGGGAGGTCCTGCTTATCCTGGTAGAGTTCCCATAATGGATGGAAGAGGAATTCCTGGTGCAGGAATTTTTCCTAGTATTGTTACAGGTGCCAAAACAGATGTCGGTACTTCTATAACGTATCCCGGAATATCATCTGGAATACCAGGAGTTAGCGGTACTGGCATTGTTACTCCGCAAGGTGGACAAACCCAACCGGGTGTAACTGGATTTATAACACCAGGAACCGTATATCCAGGAAGTGGAGTCCCCGGGATGACTACTACAGGTGGAGCTTATCCAGGTTCGGGTGTATATATGCCAGGAGGTGTTGTATCAGGAACAGGAACAACAGGAGGTGGTCAATTAATCGGACAGTATCCTCCTGCTCAAATTCCTGGTGTCCCTCAATATCCTACAGCACAGTATCCATCAGGACAATATCCTGATACCAAACAATACTATCCAGGTGGAATCAGCGGTCAAACGATCCCCGGTCAATATCCAGGAGGTGTTGGTACCACAGGCGCCATAGAGGCGTCACAATATTATCAAAAACCTAAAGTTATCTCGGCCACTAGTGCAGAAGATGATAGTGCAGATAGCCAAGCATCTAGTTCCGTAAAACAAGTTGATTCTGGTACAGAAACAAGTGCATCTGCCCAAGGTAAATACGGAAAGGGTACTGCACAATCTCAAGTGTCTGGTATTTACAGTGGTTCTGCATCATTTTCGGCTCAAGCTGGTACCAGTGATATTAATAGAAGTGCTCATGCCGAAATAAGTGGCGGCAAAGATGGTGCGGTTAGTAATGCGGAAGGTGTTGGTGGTCGTGGAAAGAGTCAAGCTCAGGTTCAATTAAATTCTGATTCTGGTGCTACCTCAACAGGAGCACAAAGTAGTGGTTGGAATCATGGAACAAATTCTCAGGTGCAAGCCAGTTCCAAAGGTGGAATGGCGGATGCACAAGCTAATGGTGAAGGAAGTACTTCCAGTCAAGCACAGATTGGATTTCAACCATATTTAAAAGATGAAAGCAAAGTTGAAAAATATTCGCTTCCCTTCCGTGGTGGTGGTACGGCGTCTGCTCAAAGTGGAACTCATAGGGGTCAATCTCAATCTCAATTACAGGGATCGTTTCAATATGGTATCACTTATTCTGGTGCTGCCCAAGCTGGGTCAGGATCTGGCGCAGCAGCTTCTAGAAAACCATTTAATTTTAATCTAACTAATTCTGAAGTTTATAGGCCATATAAACCAAGTAATATACCATCGATATCCAGAAATGACGACAAGGAAGTAACGACTGTACCAAACGATGCTGATTTTAATCGTATTCAGGCACAGAGGCAAGGTTTACAAGCAAGTTCAAGTTCTCGACAAACGGTTATTAGTGGTGTATCAAAAGAAAAAGTAGAAATTTCAACGAATAGAAAGGAACAACCCACAGACAATAAACACGCAGCCGAGCCAGTTTATGAGGAGGAAGAATATGAAGATCAATACGAAGATGAAGATTATGATTCATCTGCCAGACAAAATCTTCCAATCAATTTAGAAACCTTTCCAGCTAATATAAAACAAGAAGATCAACATCAATCCCAAATGATACAAATCGGTAATGCTAATCGGTACGATGTTAGGGTAACACAGGACTCAAATATTCCATCAAAAGATGACAGATTAGAACCGGGTCAATCTTTACCAGGTTATACAGTTCCACCTGGTTTTCGTGGAAGAGTAATGTCAGTTGCAGGTGATGATACAATTGCTAAAGGTGATGGAAAAGCTCAATCACAAACTGTTGCATTGATTCCAACAGCACAACCAAATACTACAACCATTGTAAACAAATCACTTGGTCCAGAAACACGTTCACTTCACAACAATTATGCTAGATTTACAGGAACTCCTATTTCTAAGAGTAATATTGATCGAACTCATACTCGATCATCATCTAATGGTTTTCTTACACGTGATTTGGATAAATCAATTAGACCAAGTTATTACACTGTAACAAACAGTGTTGCTGGTAAAATAGATGATAACAAAAATGCTCAGAAAAAATATGAACATCGGTATTATACTAAATCATCCACATGCGGATATTTTACATTTTCTTGTAACGTTGTATACGGTTCTAATGGTAGAACCAAAATTTGTAAACCTAAAGTACCAACATATCCCGATGGTACACCAATGAAGTGTTAATTAATCTCACACTGTGTATATTTAGAGATTAGTTTATATATTGTATTATTTTATATATTAATCATTAGTTCAATTTTTATTGTCCATTTAGTTTATATATATATATATGTATGTATGTTAACCTCTTTTTCATATATCGCTTTTTGCCATAAAAATACGCATAATTGAAGAGACAGGTGTTATATATATATATATATAATCGTTTTTTTAAATATATGTAAACTATTATATTATAAACATCATAATTTCATCGAATATTATTATAATTATTATAATAATATTACTCTATCAGAAAATGCATTACATAAATGCATGTTTTTATCATAATTATCAATAAAATACATTCGAAATAATTGTGAAGAGTATTATTATATATGGTTGTTGTTGTTTCTTTTATTCATTCAATTCATAATCTAATTTTTGACGAGTCAATAATTTAAAAATACTTTTACTCTCACTATAGGTAACACATTATGGTTTTTTTTTTGTTCATCTATAAAGGTTTGTTATCTAATTTCTATTAGTACAATATATCTTGTAACTGTAACACTAAAATCACGGGCACATAGGTAAATGCAATCATTGCTTTATCATATTCTACTTACATTTTTAACATTGACATACGGGGTTTGAACCATACGAATCAGGTATCATGACTTGTACATTTAGTAAGTCTTTCAAAAAGGTTGCAACTGTGTCCTCTGTATATGTGTGTTATTAATTTTTCTTATAATATATACAGTGTGTACACACATAATAGATATACAAATAATTATTTAAAAAAATATATAAACTCTAAACAATTTTTAAAAAAAGATGTACAAAGAACAAAAATAATACATATATATGTATATATATATATATATAAAAATAAAAAAAATTATATACAGTAATAGTAAAAAAAAAAAACAAAAAACAATTAGGAATTTTAGTAATAAAATAATAATAATAATAATAAAAAAAATAATTAAACGTATTTTAAATAAAAATCCTATAAATGCACACAGAGTTTTTCAAAATTACATTTAACATGAAAAATATGATTGGATAATATAACTTAGTTTGTGTGTTGATTAACTATGTATATATACATTTACAAAGTTGCTAATGAAATAATGTTGTCAGTAGATTCTTAAAATTACAGGAATATAAGAAATATAAATTATTTTTTTTTACCTCCTAACGATTTGTTAAAATCCATTTATAGTTTCTAAACGAATTGTTCAATGTTGAATTTCCATGCTGTTCGTTTTTTATTAGGCTTGATTTATTTCATAATCTAAAACAATAAATACAGAAATATCATTTCATAACATAACTTTTTTATAATTCATATCATAAGACAAATGAACAAAAATCATACCATCGGATAATTCTTCATCGTCGTTTAATTTATTATCCAATGATTCCACGGACCTGTTAACTCCACTTGTTTCAGAACTAACAAATGAAGCAGTGTATATGATTAATTTAGAAAATATAATAATGTTAGATGGAAAATAATAATGTACCTGTTTTTAAAATGTTCTAATTGCACATTAGCCGATTGTAATTGTTCTACGAGATCTTCATTGGCTCGTTGTAGTTTACGTACACTGTTGGTTGCAACATCTACTTCATCTTGAGCTGAAGATAATTCTTTTTTAAGTTCATCAACTCTTCCTCGAATTCTTTTAACTTCTCCTTCATATTGTTCCAATCTTCGCATCGCGTGTGATAATTCAGTTGTCTTCTCACCCAACAATTTTTTCAACTTTGTTTGGGAATGTTTTATATCTGACAATTCCTGATGAAAAGAAATAATGTCAATAATGTTAAAATTCTTTTATACGAGAAACATAAGACAAATTTTATTGTATAAAATATAAAACCTTGTTTCTATCCAAAAGTTCTTGTTGTAATAATTTTCTATCCAATTCTATATCTGTGGTTGAAAGTGGACGAGATCTTCGTGATTCCAGTCTTTCTTGTAAATCATGCAATTCAATACGCAATTGTTTATTTTCTCTCTCCAATGAAATCTTTTCAGTCTCCAAACGTTCACGTTTACCCCATTCAGCTGCATTTTCAGCTTGCAATTTTCCTAATTCTGTCCATAATTCTGACAATCTATGATCCATACCTTCCATACTTAAAGTTTCTACAACCAAATCATTGTGAGTACTGCTAAGTTCATCTTGATATCGTTCTTTTAATTCTAAAAGTTCTCTCATAGCTTCCGTTCTACTTTCTTGAAGTTCGACACACTTATCTTGCAACTGTGTAACTTCCAATTTCAATTTTTCCATGTCTCTTTGTAATGAATTCTTTTCTCTACAAACAAATGATAATAAAATGAATTGATTGATAAGATTTAAAGATAAAGATATCAATTAAATAAAAACTTACACTCTTTCATCATAAATAGTTTGAGTTGCTTCATCCAACCTGAGTTGCAACATTGAAAGTTTCTGAGCTAATACTTCTTCATTGTACATTTCAATAGAAGATTGACGTTTTTCTGATTTAGTTTCACCTGATGATTCTACAGTTAACTGTGCAATATCTCTGTCTAATGTACTCAAAGAACCTTCTTTGTACAATTCTACAGCATGTTTTGGTACTGCACCTTGAAGTACATACTCTTCGATATCCCTATCTGGTAAAGCGGTATGAAAACTCAAATTAACATTGGATTCTTCAAATGAACGTTGACACGACAATGCATCCTTTTGACTCCCTTTTTCTTGTTGCTCTGCGTTATTGTAAAAATCAAACAATTCATCTATCCCAAGTGTACTTCTCAACTGTGGATCAGATTCCAACACTGAGAATATTTGTTGATTGAAGTGTCCTGCATGTTTTAATAACAACATATGTATCTTTTCAATTTCATTTTTCAACTGTTCATTCTTCAATTCCAATTCTTGTGATTCATGTTTATAAGTGTTTGCATCTTTCATAGCAATTTCTAATTTAGCTCTAAGTGCTTTGGCTTCTTCACGTGCCATGTTCCTTTCGTTTCTAACTTTGCTCCATTTTTCACGCCAATTGGCAGTACAATCTGACCACCATCTCATTGTTTTTTCCATTTGTGCTGCTCGTGCTCTGGCTTCCTCCAATTCTCTTTGTGGCAATGCCTAAGATTACAAAATCAAAACAACAATTAATAAAAAATAGTAGCAACAATAAATATGTATGAAAAGTAAAATTATAGTTTCATAAATGTTTAATAATAGTACCTCTTTAGTTTCCCATTCGTTAGGCATGTAACGTGAGGAAGATGATACATTAACGTCATGTTCTCTCATGTATCGTCGAGATGACGTTCCACTGGCTGTAGATTGTGCCATGACTGAAAAACCTAACCTATGTTTTTTCTTTTCTGACAAAATATACAAATTCAGTCTGCAGTTCAACAATTCCAAATCAATAATGTTTACTAATTAAATACCATATGTGTTAATCTTAGAACTTATTTATATTTTTCTCTTCATCTTCATTCAAAGAAATGTTTTTTGTATTATTGATATATGTTATTAGTGTAACAGCAGGTTCCGTAGTTTACGTATGCTTATCTTTCCGCATGCAACACCTGCATGCAGTTTACACACACGTTGCATTCATCTTCTTGTGTTTATTAAAGTTCATAGATAAAGTTCGTTTGTGTACTAGTAGATAACTAGTATTGTACAACTAACGCCAACTGGTGGTTTTAGTTCTAACTAATTTTTACATGGTCGATAAATCTTCTTTATCGGCAACTGTCGGTAAAATGTTTATCTTAGTTTGTACTGAGACTAGCAGTGGACGATAGTAGGTAGAATGCTATACTATTGCCTACTGGTGGTCACGGTGCGAACTATGATGAATTTTGTTACATGAAAAGTTCACTTTTGATTTATATAGTTTTATATTCTTTGTTACTCAGTTATAATAGAATTTTGTGCCATCTATTGGGGGGTGAACAAATTAAACTTTTTTAATACGTAATTTTCGTTCAATTTAAAAACGAAGAATATATAAATAATAAAATGTTTAGAATATAATTGTATTATATAAATTTATACTAAACGATAAAAAAAAATTCAAAATCATAATTAATTGAATATAAATCAAAATATGCAACAATAATTTTGATAAAGACAAGACAAAAAAATAAAATAATTTATTATTTATTATTCGTATATATTTTCTAATAATAATTTGTCGCAATATGATAGCAATATAAGAAACTCTTTTTATGAATAAGTCTAATTTTAATAATATTAATGCAGATGGAACTCGAACCTATACGTCCCTTGAATTTCTTCTTCTTCTTCTTCTTCTACTACTACTACCATCCCTTCTATTCTTCATTCTTGGAAGAAATAAAAGCAGAGTTGTAAGAGTCGGATGATTAATATCCAGCCGACAGTTTGTGAAGCGGGCAGCCAATAAACGGGATAAAAATACTCGTGAAAAATAGCGCGCTCATTAGGGGTACAGTCACATCTGTGACTGCTGCGCTGAAACGCGCCAGAGGAGAGACCAGAAAAGTCGTCGCGACGTAGAAGGCAAAACGGAGGGACAGATTTATTAAAGTAATGGTAGATTATTTTAATATTCCGATGGGAGAAAGAGAGGCGCGCGAACGTGCTTACTTTCTTTCTTTTTCTCATTCTCTTTCTTTTACCCCCTTTCACCCCATTTTCTCATTCCTCTCCATTCTCGTTGTCTTGTGCAATTCAATAATCCCTCCTCCTTTGGCCCCCATCTTTTCCCTCCTTTTTTTTTTCTTTCTTTTCTTTTCTTTTCTTTTCTTTTATAACAGGAATTGAAATAGCAAAAGCTTCCTTCCAACTCGTTTTACATTATTAGTAATAAACTCCGATGTTTTACGCGATGCCTGGAAGCTTCTACGTTTTGAATTCTTACTATTTTATAACTTTGAACTTGCTTTCGCATTCATGAACATTTTTTTCAGATATCAATGATGCGTACTATATTTATAGGTTATCTTGATAATATTATAACATTTTTCCAAATATTTTTACAATCAAAATTCTTAGGGTAGTTAGGGTCATTTTATTATAGTGAGAAATAAGAACAATAAAAGATAGATATTTAGATAGATAGATAAAGTGAAAGAGAGACAGAGAAATCTGAAAACGGTAAAGCGTAATTTTGAATTTCGAAATGGTAGAGAGATAAATTTATATTTGAGCATTTTTGTTTTCGAAATCTATTCGTATGATCTTCCATTGCGTATACACCCCCAATGTATATTACTCGATGTTCGAAATATTTTTCGTGTTACTCTTTTTATTTTTTTGTAATTTTTTCGCGAGAAGGGGTTAGGGGTTTTTATTTGTTTCTCTCTTTCTCTCTCTCTGTTCATTTTTTGTTTGTTTTTTTTTTTTTTTCATTGAAATTAAACGTTTCACTTTATCGTTACGTACGGCAATTAATAATAACTCACGATCGGGCATATCTTTTATAACCTTCCGGAGTATAAATTGCGAAATTCTGGAATTATCAGGCGACGGGAATGAAAGGCTATTTCCGTTTGCACGGAATCGCGAGCAATATTTTACGCGGGATTGGGGTTGAACGCGGACACATCGACGTTTGATATTTTTATGCAGTGGCGCCACCGCGGTGAGATTTACGAGGCAGATATGCGATCACAAAATGTCCGACACTAAATCAAACATGTTGCATTGGAAAACATCCGAAATTATTATTGGGACTTTTATTGGTCTTCCGGAAATGAAATAAATGTATGACGTAACTTTTATAACCTTCCTATATTCTCAATATACCTATACCTATATATATATATATATATATATATATACTTTCAATATGATTTTTCAAAAAGGAACAAATTCAAATGATATTACGTCTATTCATTTTGAATAATATCAATAATTTTGTTTATGTGTTTTTCTTTTTTTTTTTTACACCCGATAGAGTATATAGAAATATATTTGTGTTATTATACGTTTAAATTATAGAAGATGACAAAAATATAGAAAAGTCACGTATTTTGGGGTAGAGTCCAGGACGAGGCAATATATCGCAGGTTATTGTCCATTAGAGGAGCGCAACGTGGCCATCTATGCCACCAACTTATTTTATGATATTGCTGACTTTCTCTTAGCTTTTTCTTTCCACAGAGACATGGTCATTGTCTTAGTAGTATCAAAGATATTCACTATCCATTTAACTTACTCTAACTCATCCTATGAACTTTCTAACAGGTTCACCGAGCAATATTATCAGAGTAAACTGTCGATAAATATATTCATCGATAAATCGAATCCCTCTCTCTCTGTCTCTTTTACTTAATCATCGATCATTCCCTTCATTTGAATTTCGAGTCTGAAAATGATCGTAATCGTGAAAAATGTATCATTCTAAACGGTCTCATAAATCTGCTCCTAACACTACTACTCTCAACTACTTTAGCACACTGAAGGAAGAAGAGTAAGAGTAAGAGAGAGAGAGAGAATACTGTAAGAGACGATGGCAGAGAGAGGGCTGGTTAATTGGCATGACAGATAGAGGGTGCGAGAGAAGTTGTCGCTTAGTAACATTACGTCGCGATGAAAGTGATATCCAACCCCCCAACACGTCCTACCTACCCCCGCTATGCTCTACCGCTCTCACACAACTCCATTTTCCCTTAACCCCCGTCAGTGGGCTTCACAGATGAACGATCAGAGTAGTTTCCAGGAGCATTCGATTTCTACTATCATTAGAAACGTTCCAAACAATCATTAATATTACGAGATACCCGAAAAGCTATTACCATTCATCGACCGACATCTACTTGCTTCGAACGATGATAATGGTGTTCTAAAAAAAAGAAAACAATAATCGTCTAACACTAAATCTGAATTAAAAATAATGCAAGTATTACGAATATACAATATTAACACTATGACTCCACGTTGGTGTCATGCGAAAATTATCGGGTAAGTTCTGATGACTTCACGTTATAAAATAAATAATTGGGTTGGCAAGTAAATAATTGCAAATTTTGTCGATAGGTAGCTTATTAAAATCACCAATAACTTAGTTGCCAAGTCAATAATTTTCCATCTAATAATCATGTAGGTCACATAATAAACTGGCAACCAATCTAAACTGAAAATTTACTTTAAACCGATTAGCATGGTGACTGTAGTAGCATCTATCGGTGTCGTATCTCTTTGTCAAGAAGCCGAAGCTACTATGTTTGCGCGGGGGAGAGGGTTGAGAACAGTACACTAAGCTACAAAAGACCAACGTAGCTTTATATCCCCGACGAACATCGTTTACTGCTTTTCCCTTCTCTATACATCATCCGACGACTCATCTGCTGACTTGTTATTAAATTAATCCTTCGTTTAGTCAAATTGATGCATTGATATCACAGAGCACTCATAACTCACGACACCCTTCTCTTGTTTTACGTACACACACGTATTATACATACAAACGTATACGTAAATAGTAAGAGTTAGATAGAATTAAACAGAGAGAAAAAGGAACAAGTGTCTAGAGACCATCACCCTCTTGACCTAACGAACGGGTTGGGGTACGGGGGTTATTACAAAAGCTCTCCGGCAAATCACCATTTGCTACTTCACTATTTATTAATATCTTTTAGTTAACATTTGAACCATTTGAACATGACTTACGTCATCATCTGACCTGATAAGTGACGCCCACCTTTCTTATTCATCTTCTATGGGGTAATATGACAGAGTTCTTTTTCTATAATATTTCTGGGTTTCACGTTCATCAATAATTCAACTACTCCGGTTCTTCTTCTTTCTCGTTTGAACCGATCACTGTTTAAAAGGAGGAAAGAATGGGGTTGGGGGAACAAGGGAAAGGGAAAGGGAAAGGGAAAGGGGGGGGGGAAACTTTGTCTCCGTTGGAGATCTTGTTTTGAGTAAGGCGTTCAAAATGGGGTGACTTTAATACCCGCAAATAAAAGTGCACGTGACTATTTTAAATATAATCCTTTTGGTAACTTTGGATTCCTCCTCTTTTGGACTTTTCTAAACGATTGCATTGTACAACAACATCAAACTTGTCCTGCATTATATTTTTTGATATACCTACCCCCATTTCTCACTACAAATATTACATTTACATATGTACATTTATATTAGATCATTAAATATGAAATGTTTGATTACTAACTGAAAGTAGAGTTAGAATAATCGAACATTTCATACTTAATGATCTAATATTGGTAGAAAGTGATATTCTGGGTAGCAAGAATCTAATACTTTTTTTTTATATCCAAAGAAAATATTATCGATTACGACGTGGAAACTTATTCGGACAAAGTAATAATCCGTATAAACCGTGTGGTACCCAATCGTAAGCTTGCGAATCGCTAAACTCGCTTTTCTACTCTTATCCTTTTCATAGTAGTAGTATGGCGTTACCGCACCACCACACAAGTGTAGTTAGAACACAACGTATATGTTGTAACTTGTAGGGTATTTGAGAGGTAAAAAACATGATGCCAGAACTCCTACTTTAGAGAAAGAGAATGAGAAAACGAGAAAGACAAAGGGAGAGAATGAGAATGAGAATGAGAGTGAGTGTGTGTGAGAGAGAGAGAGAGAGAG